CCGAAAGCAGACCGTCGTCCCCGAACCCGTACGACGACGACCGCCTCGACCACCACCCACGAGCCGACGACGCGGATAGAGGCGCCGGTGTCGGCGGCGCGGGGGATCGGCGCCACCGGCGGCTCTACAGCAACATCAACAAGACTGGCACCAGCATGGACGGCGGCGGTAGCGCCACCTTCAGCAGCACGAGCAGCTACGACCACCCCCACCGCCACCACCGCCACCGCCAAGAGAAAGCTTCGGCGGCCGCCGGCGCGGAGGAGAGGAGGCCGCCGTGCCGCTCTCGCGAGACCACTAGCAGCGGCAAGCGGGGGTCTTGGTCTCGAGAAACCGGTCCAAGCTGCGGCGGTAGCGGTAGCGGTAGCAGCGGCCAGGGCGAGGAGGGTCAAGGTGGGCGGTGGCAGCAGCAGCAGCAGCAGTTGACGAGGTGGTTGGACGGGAGCAACGACAGGGCGCCGCTGCCGCCACCGCCGACTAGCGGCAGCGGGAGGTCTTCTCCGAGAGCTGCCGCCCTGGCGGCATGCCCGCCCGACAGCAGCGGTCACTACGGGGCTCGGCATATCCACCACCACCACCACCACTACCACCACCACCATCAGCAGGGGCAGCGGCGGCGGCAGCAGCAGGGGGGAGTGGTGCAAGAGGAATCGGCTGCCGGTCTGTACAGTATGATTGAGCCCGGCAGCACAATGTTTGGCACCGACTGCGGCAGCAGCAACGCGGAGATGTGGCCCCACGCCCGCGACGGCAGCGCGGCAGACGCAAGTCGTCAGGCCGAACAAGAGGAAGAGGAGCGGCAGCTGATCCAGCAACAGCTCCTGCATCAGTACCAGCACCAGCAAGGCTCTCACTCGACTTCCGGTAAGTTGGAAGACATTTCGGTCCTTGATGCAGGGACGTCCGGTATGGCCGAGAAAAGCAAAAATCACTTTTTACTCTCGCCCCCCTGAAAAGGCGGAAAGTGATACCGATAGGATAGATAGGGTAGGGAAAATATTTTATTAGAGATTGGCGAAGTAGGAAGGAATGATTGGCCATCGGTGATCGGTCCTGTGGGAACCGTGCTCCCTCCTCTCGAGGACGCCTGGTCAGCGGTCTATCCGCTAAGGCATGCCAAAACATGAGTACGTCCCTCCTACTCACCTCCCACCCTCGTACCCTCCCCTTTCCCGAGAGACCAAAAACACAGCAACAGGCCCGCCACAGCAGTATTATAGAGTCATGTGCGTGTCATCCTCTCTCTGCGTATCCCACTGCATTCTCAGCCGCCCCCCCCGCCCCCCCTTGTCCCCCACCACCGCACGCTTGCGCTGTTGCCGCCACTATGTACCACCAGCGCCGGTGCCTCTGGTCGCCAAGCCCGACAAGGACGGGTGCGGCGGCAGCCACGCCGGCACCGCCGACCGCGCCTTCATGACCTCCCCGGTCATGAACCTCCGCCCGAAACACCGAAACCCTCCTTCCCCCGGCGGTGGCTTTGGCAGCAGCGGCGGCGTTGATGTCACCGCCGCCGCGCCCAGCCACGGCGGGGGGCGGGACTTCAACGGCGGCGGCGGCGGCGGCAGCGGCGGCGCAAGAGGGCCGTTGCCTGACTGCTCCAAGAACTCGGGTTTGCGGCGGGTAAGCACTTTTTTTTTTTTCCAACGGCGGGTGGTTAGGGTTTCGCTCTTTTTTGGTTGTGGACGTATGTTCGGCCGCGCTTTTCTTAACCTGGTCGGTGCGGCGCCGGGGTACCTTCATCCAGCCCAGACAGTTCGCACCCCAGGAGAAGGCGGTAGCTGTACTAGGGCGTAGGAAGCGGACGGAAACGGCGGGAAGTGATATCGATAGGATAGATACAGGGACGGGAAGACAATTTTTTTAACTCACCTTTGGCAAAGTAGGAAGGAACGATTGGTGATCGGTCCTGATGCTCCCTCCTCTCTCGAGGACGCGTGGTCAATGGCCTCACCGCTGAGGCATGCAAAACATGAGTACCCCCTCCCCCCCGTCTTGACCCTCTGTGTTGCAACTTGCACCTCGGGTGCCTTCCCGTCGGGGATTGTGTTCCCAATCTCCCTCCCGCCCTTCTCGTCCTCAGGAGTCATCGTACAACAGCCCGATCCAGGTAGTCCAGGCAGCGAGGGAGGACTTGATGGAACGGAGGAAGGGCAACGGCGGCGGCGGCGGCGGCGGCGGCGGCTACGGAGCGGGAGTGGTGGCCGAACAACACCACCTCACGCGGCCAGACGATCCCATCACCGGGGAGTACCTCAAGATGAGTCTGAAGGGCTTGGCTGACAGCAGGTGATGAAGACGCGAGGAAGTAGCGGGGAACGAAAAATATTACCAAACTACAATAGTGGAGGGGGAGGGGGGGGGGAGGGGAAACGGAAATTTTAGGGAGGGCTTGGGGGGTGTTGGTCTTAGGTTTTTTCTGGAAACCCTTGCATGCCTCCCCGGCCACCGGGGTTGCACCCAAGGACTATTGTGAGTTGTATTGGACAGGGTAGCGGGAGG